TTTTTAAAATGCTGATTTTCAGTTTTATATGTGCATGATTAATTAAAGGGAAGTATTTTAATACATAACTATTTACATAATATTTTACATAATGACGGAGTGTCAAATTGGAGGTGGGGAATTTATTTCATTGATAAGATTTTGATTTAATTAAATCTAGCAACATCTCTATTGATAAATCATTATGTAACTTGTTATTTACATATAACACAATCGTTAATTAAATTATGATTATGATGACATATGTTCTGTTTATTGCTCAAAAATGCTAATAGTCAAGTGATGGATTTATTGCGTGTTTTGTGGTTAAATGAGAATGTGTAATATATGAATAAAGAAGATAATAACTAGAAACATTAAGTGATAAATGTTATACTTATGTAATTAATGTTCGATTAACGTTGTTTGTTAAGTCATCAAAGAGGTCAAACCTTATGGTATTATGAACATTAAATTGCATAATTTATTTATCAATTACTCTTGATAGTTTAATGTTTATAAATGAAGATTATATTAGGATTATTGTTGTCAAGAGAATATTGACATTCATAAATTATAAATTTGTTATGTATCGTCCAAATGATGATCAAATAATTTTATTTATCTTGAACATGATCGTGTTTACTTGATGTATTTAGTTTGATGTGTTTTGTACATCTAAAGATATCAGACATGTTTAATTGGAGTACATTTAATTACCAACTAAGTGAAATTAAATTGGTATAATTATGTTTATTACGATAGTATAACGTATTATCACTCAAAGTAGAAATATGGTATATGTTTAATGCTATGTTATCTAAATCTGAATTCAAGTATTTAAGTTAAAATTCAAAGCATTAATGTTAGAGCATTTTATATATTTTTGCAGTATTCGTTCTCATTTCTCTACATTCGAATGATTCATCTGTACTATTGTTCAATGGGTTCAATTTCTCTAACAGGTGTGAACAAGTCCAATTCAACTTAGTTATTTTGAATTGAGACTTGGCACTTTAAGTTGAGAAACATGCCGATCTCACTGATGAGAGCATTTATGATGAAAGATATTTCCATAATGTTTGGGAAAGTTCAAACAGATTATGCATGATGTTTATGTGGATGATCTTAGCAAGGAATATAAAGTCCAATATCTTTAAAATTGAGATTGCTGAGGAATACATGAAATTTGTGGAAGAACATTCACAAACAGCTAACAAGTCATTTGTTGGGATACAATGAATACCTTAACGACCATAAAATTTGATGGTTCTCATACCATGCATGAGAATGTTATTGAAATGAATAACATTGCAGCAAGACTTAAAACTCTTGGAATGACTGTGGATGAGAAATTCCTAATACTGTTTATCATGAATTACATGCCTCCTCAGTATGGTCCATTCCATACGAATCATAATACCTTAAAGCACAAATAGAATGTGAATTAATTGCATGGTATGCTCGTGTAAGAGGAGACAGGAACTTATTATGTTTATCTCGTAAGTCGTCAATGAGTTAGAAAGAAATATAAGAAAATATTTGGAATGGGCATTAAGCAAGGACCATTAAATATAAACGAGTCTTGTGTCCAAATCTACAATAAGGAACACAACATATATGTGCCAATTTCAGTAGAAGAGGGACTGCCTGAAACATAAGGCATGGAGTAAAGGTGATATTATTTTTCATATATGTTTCGAATCTAATTTGATAGAAATTCTTTATAATACTCGGTGGATTAATTCTTGATATACCACCCGTGTTACCAAAGCAATGCAAGGATTCCTTTCAATCCAGATCATAAATTCAAGTGAAAATTTTGTCCTCATGGGCAATCGAGTCA